GTGTGTGTTAGTTTATTTATTGTCAATTTGATTTCGAGCTACCAATTGATTTGGAGTTATAATCTCATGAAATTTAATACAAACAAAACTGAAAAATTAGTAGGATATGTCTTCTTCTTTTTTTTTTTTGTATTTAACGTAATTGTTAACTACTAGTTAAACACTATATGATCGGCAAGACAAAACAACATGCCTACCTATATCAATAGAGTCTTACAGGCAAATTAGCGGAAATTGCAAAGAAGTCTCCTAAGAGCCCTCCACCCATTTGTGCGGCATCAGTATCCTTCAGCAAAGTCTCGAACATTGCTGCAAATGGATACATTTCCGAGCATCCAGGAAAAATCATAGTCAAAAGTGGCCAAAAAGATAAAAAAGCATCTCAATGATCCAGAAAAAAGCGACCTGGATTAGCCAGAATCAAGACAATATCAATGTCTAGCTGCAACATCTAGAGCAACTCCAATAGATTCTCCAACTATATAAACGGGTCGTTATGGGAAACGGTAGTACTCTGACCTAACTGTCCTCTCAATGAGCTTTACAATCTCTGAAAATTGACATAACACAACAGAAAGAGTTTCATCCACATAAGATCAAAATCCTTTTGGTTACAAGCAATACTCACTCTCCAAGCCTCTTATGCTGGCGAATGAGCCCTAATCCAGTACCATCGATCCCTGCAATTTTGATTTCTGAGTTTCGTGCTCACGAGAAAACAGCCATGACTACTCCGCCATTCTTTCTGCTCTTTCCTTCTATCGAGGTCGGTTTAGGATCCACATTTCGGTTCGAGTTTGGTTTAACGAAATTCAATTCAAGATGGTTTTGGTTTGATTGTATTGAAACTTTTTAATGTTAGTCATGGTTAGGTTTCGGTTTGTGAAGAATAATTAAAAATAAAAATAAAAAATAAACAGTAGTATTAAGTCAAGTCCGTTTCAACGGTAGAAAATTCTCAACTGTCATTTTTACAACAGTAACAAAAAATGGCCGTTGCAGTTTTTTTTTGAAGTTGCTTATAAAAGAGACGAAGAACTCTCTCTTCCTTTGTTTTTTTAATCTTTCAAGTTTCTATTTTTTTTTCTCTCTCAGTTTCTCTGACATAATTCAAATAATAAAACTTCTTCATATCAAAAATCTGATACAAACTTTTTCTTCTGCTCATAAGCAAAGACCAAAGAAGGTGGTGGATCCAAACTTTACTTTGGATACACAACTCGACAATTACCGTTCTGATTTCAGTGCAATGGAAGGTATGTACACAATTGTAATTAAAACAGCTTAATTTGTCATAGTAATTTTATTTCGTTATTTAACTTCAATGAGTAATATATCTTGCAAGAATTGGGTGAAGAAGAGAATCAAAATTTACAACGAAAAAGCCGCAAAAAATAATCTCACTTACAATAAAGGTATGATGTTTTTGTAACATTTTTTTTTTTTTTGGTGTTCTGCATATATTCAAGCAATATGTGTTAATTATAGTCAAAAACAGTTATGTTTTTTCGGTTTAATTTTCATGTCAAATTGTCCGCTGTACTAAATCTACCTTTTGGTTTTTTTTTGTTGTCTTTGAATGTTGCGCATCTACCGTGAAGATGGCTTAAGGCAAACGGGTATTTGTATGATTTTTATACTTCTAGATTG